AGTTTTATATGAACAGTATTGCTTGTTACTAAATGGTTTATAATTAGGTGTGATTACAATAAATTATCATACGAACAATAAATGAATAACGATAGGAAAAACAAGTATTTTTGATATTTATCTCTACGGAGTGAAATGACCAATATTGCATTCTAATCGGTGTAACCATTTATTACTTTTCTCCATAACTAAATTTTGATAGTTAACTTTAATCTTAACTCTAGTCTTAAAAACATAAATTTTTGTATTCCAGTTCCATGTGAGCTACTATAATTTATTAGTGAGAGTAGTTTGGGGTGGGCTAATATTAATGTACTGTGATTTGGAATAAACACAGTAGACTTTCAAAATCGATCAAATAAATCGGAATCAGGCAGCCTACTGATCACAACAATGTTTCTATCACATACGGTGGCACTATACTTGATATGTAGAGCTTTCATTAATAAGGAGCTTAAATTTTGAACGATATATCTAGCTCTTTGGTTGATGTTAATGACTGATGAAACTCCATCTACTTTTTTATTTCGGTTGCAAGTTGGTAAGCTACGACTCATTGAATGATTCGACATATTTTCAGTAGGTTCATTTCGGTCAATTCTTTTAATTTCTATTTGATCAGTGTTTGAGAGAATTACATTAAGTAACCACAATACTTCATATTTTAAAGATTCTTAACTTGGAAATTCTACATTGTTTATTTGTGACTGAAAAAATTTAACCAAGTATCTATAAGAACAAGAAATTTTTCAACATTTGCTCTAATTATACAATCAAGATATATATATATATATATACAATAAAATGGATATATCCCAATAAGTAGTAATTAGAATTTCTGAAGTTTCACAATTTGATTTAAATCTCTTCTTTAAGGTAGATAAATAAAACACATTGTTCAATACTTAATGTCTTTGTGAATTGTCAGGTCGAAACCTAGTAATGGCAATTAAAAACTCACTGATTTTTTCTTATAATAAAAAATGCACTAATTTTCGCCATCTATAGTATTGTGGTGTGTGCTACTTATATTGACATAAGTAATAGATGATGTTGGTCGTGAACAGAAGGTCTGGCAGCAGAGAGACAAAATGATCGAACAGTAAAGAATGGAAACAGGATGCAATATGTATGAAAATGCAAGGACAATGAAGTCTGAGTCATTTTGAGACAATTGGTGGACATTTTGGAAATTAAGCATTTACTTTATGATTGTTAGATTTTATTAACAAGTCCTGTAATTTTGTGTTAGATACATTCGATTGTCCCCACTCGTGTTCTTGTTCACTACAGTATACTTAGTTTTCTAGTATATGGAATGATCAAATGGTTCTTTATATTTTTAATTTTTTACATATCCTACCAAAAAGTAGTTGGTATCCACAATGTTTCATTTACTTACAGTACATATATCTTGTTTAGTTTAAATCTTAGTGATTCAATCTACCCTACGTTTTGTAGATATTTTCATGCTTTTAATCTTTTGTTAATATTCGGTGCTATAAAAACGTCATAGATAGGTGCACCATACATGAAGAATGCATATTCTTTTTCTATATATGCATATATATGCATGTAAAGTATATTTGTGATTGGAAACTTCTACGACTATACATTTTTATGGGATGTGTAAACTTGTCTATGAATGGATGTAACGCATACTAGCAAATGCGCCCATTTATGGCTATGTATGTATCACTGGAATGCACGTATCCTATATATGTACATTTAAACATATACATGTACTGCATACTTGGGAGAATATTCACGTTCTCCACAAGCTCATTAATTAATAGTTCATCAGCGCTTTTGATTTGCATATAAATTTCTGAATATTATAGGAAAATGAAACCGTACTAGGGGTAGACTGGAGAGTTATTTGGTTAAGAAGCTTTAATTCATAGTAGACAATTCAAACCATGTTGTACAATGCTACGCAAGTTAAATATGAATGGAGAATTAACTCAGTTAATCAGATTTATTTCAGAAATATTCATCTATTGTTTCTAGTCATTGCATGTAGATCAATTTTACATGTATTGGTGATGATATAAGATCAAACCCTGAACAACCATTTGTTTTCATGATTCTGTGAAGAAATTCGTTGAAAATGTTTGTAAACTTGTACACTTGTTGTGGATTAGCTTTACGATAATTCCTTAGGCTTCATATATCAATGGCCCTGATAACTATTCTTGAATAAATCACAACGGTATATGAATTCAAAAAGTAACATGAAGCGCCAACCACAGTTTGTTATCGAATAGCAAAGATCAATAATTAATAAGATCCAAGCACATACATATATGTGGGAAAGCGATGCGAAGTGGAGAATGCAGCTAAAAAAATGAAAAACGAAGTGAGGCGAAAGAGGTGAGTGAGACAACTCGTTTTGATAATCTGAGACTCAATATTTACAATCAGAAAAAATAAGTTACAGACACGAAATGAATAAGATAAGCTATACACATATATAAATATAGTTAAGGCTATTCAGCAAACAGTTGAAAAGGTCGAAATGTGACTCAAGGAGAATGAATAAACTAGTCTGTGCAAAAGCTAGAATAACCTACGTGGGCTTGTCATGGTACTAGACGCTACACAATAACCAATTAAAAACATGTAGTGTGCTTATAATAAAAAATATTACTATCATCCAATGTTGATTTTTGTCGGAAAAATGTTTGTTAAAAACTATTCTAAGGTTGTTCTCATTATCAATGAAAGTATGCAAACATGAAATTTATTCGTAATCAAACAACTTACTACTTTCTATGAATGTATTTCAAATACTACAAGAGAACGGCGTTACTAGCTTATATATTTTTCAAGAATGAACAATCATGGAAAATTTTGGATTACATCAAGAGACTACTTATGTATTTTATGTTCACTTTGTAAATCAGTAACATAAACTTGTTATTTAATCAGAGTATTTTTTCTTTGGCTAAATTGTCTTACCATTGAGAACAACATATACGTAATTCATGTCACGTTTGCCGAGGAAGTATATTACTAAACATTTAGAAAGCATTAAAAAATAACAATTATTAGTGCAATTTGATATACTCTTTTTACCGTCTGTTAAGTAAAATAGGTAAAATAGAACTTGACATGCCACACATAAATTTAACATAATTGGATGAACACAAAATGTTACTTACTTACTTACGCCTGTTACACCATGTGGAGTAGCATAGACCGTCCACCAAGATTCTCCATCAAAATCTATCATGAGTAATCCTTTCCAGTTCTTTCCAGTTTCTGCTAATACATTTCATGTCTGCTTCCAATTTCCAGTGCACTATGTTGTTTGGTCTTCCTCTTTACCTTTCGCCTTCAGGATTACAAGTTCAGGCTTGCTTAGTGATGCAGCTTGAATATTTCCGCAACCTACGTCCTATTCTTTTCCAACATATTTTTATAATTTCCTCTTAAGCTGGAAACCGATGTGTTCTCTCCCACACAGGTCTGTTGCTGACGGTATCCGGTCAACGGACAGTGAGTATCATCCATAGACAAATGTTTGGAAATAGGTGTACATTTTTGATGATTGATGTGGTGGTTTTCCAAGTTTCAGCTTCATACGATAGAACTCTCTTGATGTTCGTACTGAAGATTCTCACTTTGATATTGATTGGCAGTTGTTTTGAGTTTCATATATTCTTCAGTTGTAGGAATGTGGCCCTTACTTTGCTAATCCTTGCATTTACATCTGCATCAGATCCTCCACATCCATCGACGATGCCAACCAGATAAGTGAAACTTTCCACTTGTTCCGGAGTTTCTCCATCAAATGTGATTGGTCTGAATTTTTTCCGTATTGCGTTTGAAAATTTTACTTTTCCATTGTGTATGTCGTGGCCTACTGATGCAGAGGCTTTTGCATTTGTTGGTGTGCATCGAATAGAAGTGTCAGGTCATCTGAGAAGTCCAAATCGTTTAGTTGATTCCGAGATGTCCATTGTATTCCACTTTTCCCCTCAGACGTCGGGGTCTTCATAACCCAATTGACCACCAGAAGAAAGAGAAAGGGTGAGAGTTATCATCCGTAGATGGTGGTTGTAGGTAGTCAACAGGAAACCCTGAAATTTGGCATTCGTCAGCAAGATGTACCTGTAATTTTGAGGGAATCGTTCATCTAATCTCAACATAATGTACGCAATGTCGAGTCACCTAGAATAGTGGCCACATTGCAAATTGGTCGATAGCATTTGATCTGCACTAAGAAGGACTTGACACACATGACATTGATCACTACCCAGTGATTAATCAGTTGTGAGTCATCTGTCTTGTCTGACTTCGGTCCTCACCTGGAATGAGTCTGTCATCTGTCCTCTAAGCACTTTTCACTATAGTCCGTTGTATGAATACCGTATGATATTGATGATCTTCTTAGGTATTCACTTCATAATATCGAAGAAGGTTTCATAATGTTCTCCTATCCACACTGTCAAATGCTTTCTCATGGTCAAGGACGCTGATTGCTCAATGATGATCTGTAGTGTGAAGATTTGGTCTCTACTGAACTGAGTCCGTTGATCTCGATTTTTGGTATCCACCGAATCTTCCATCCAGTTCAGCAACACTGTTGAAAACCTTTCCTGGTACTGACAGTAGTGTGATGCCTCTGTAACTGAGTTCTCACATTTGCTCTGATCTTTTTTCTTTGGTATCTTCATGAGGTATCCTTCTTTCCAGTCCATCGGCACGTGTTCCTCTTCCCATTTCAAAATTTTAGCTACACAAAATCCCTGTATGGTAAAACACTGGGAAAAAAATTAACTAATTTGATGAGTTTTTCAGACCTTTGTGAACTTATAAGTTAATATCATTGTTTGAATTATATTAACAATATATGTCTAGTGAGTATGTCTTAATACAAATGATAAACACCAATAGACTATTTTAGGGTTGTGTTTTATAATTGGCCAGTCATCGAGATCTACGTTGGGGTTAAATGATAAAATAAAGGTCCCATAAAATTTTGTTTAAAATACATTTAAAACTTCCGTTGGATACTGCTTTCATTGCTACTACCATGAATTATACTCCACAGATTTTACTGGTGATCTTGTTGATTGTATTTAAATTAGATTACAGTAAGATAACTTGTTAATATTTCATTTCATTATATGATTCATCTGTCCATTTAATTCTGCTTAATTTACTCTAATATTTCAACAATTCATCAGGTTATTTTCAACCAACAGCCAGTCTAATGAAAAGTAGTGAACTTCAGTAGTACTGTAATAAATAATCTGAATATCTTGAGGGTTTTAACAAAAACTAAAATATATACTAAGTAGCTTTTAGTTCTTGTCTATCTAGTTGCTGGGAAAACGTCAAAGTTTGAGAATGTCGCAGTATTCGTTTGCTCTAACACTTCAGAAGTTTGTTATATAAATAGATATTCAGGGGGAACGACCTCTGGAGAAAAACTTGATAGTCATTTGTTGTCAAACAAAGACAACCATGATTTACCGGTAAACATATTTCAAATTATTGAGTAAAGTTACTACGACAGAAAGTGAAATGTTGATAGGATTGTACCTTTAAAATCAGTTAAAATGAATAACAAATTTCATTTGATTCAAATGAGTTTAGACTATGAAAACAAACAGAATGTTCAAGTAGTTAGATAAAATGTTTGGGGATATTCAGTCCCTTTGTAGATTCATAACGTTCACTCTCTGAATTTCCTACATAATATTGCGGAAGACGTATTGTGAATATTTTCACCGATTATTATTCATTTGTAATAGGACAGGTAAACATTAGTATTACTATTCTGATCATATACATGTATATATATGTATATATATCCAGTGCTGCTTTTATCAATAAAACTATCGAAATATTACATGGGTCGTAGATAATAGAATATTTGAAACACAGAGACACATGAATTAATTAGGTTTTTTAAAAGGAATGCGAGATATAACATCTTTTCTGTTTGAGACACCAGCTTAAAATCTATGAGATAAGGTTACACTGCCAGAATACACAAATGAGCTGTTCTTGCACAAAGCTGAGAAGTAATTTGATTGAATTTTTCTGTCATTGTATATAACATCTAAGCCACATTATAGATATTATTTACTAGTTATGCATTAAATATGATGTTATTTTCATCGTGGACTTGTCTATCATTGGAAAAACCTTAAATTTCCATGAAATAAAAATAACCTTGGTAGTTGATTGTCTCACAAGAATTTTCATTATCTAATTTTAATTTAAATAAATGAATTTAGTGAGAATCAAGGAGCCGTTTATTTGTTAAGATCATAGGAAAAAATAAACCAAATGAGATTTTTAAACTAAGACTATAAGACAAATCCCCTTTGAGTAGCCCATAAAAATTTACTACATAAAAACTCCCCGATGGTCACATTTTATTTTCTATCCTCCTCACAGCTACTGCTTAAGGTTGACTTGTTCATTATCATGTTTCATGCTTCTTCATAGACTGGAAAATGAGTGGAATAATCATTTGGTACAAACTGAAGATCGTTCTCAAAGCATTCACATCAAGATATATCTAACTTGACTATCGAAGGTAAATTAGTAGATAACATTGCATGATGTCGATAAGACAACAAAGTGACTAGTCGTTGGTGGATCTAAACGAAATTCAGCTTAAAAATATAGGTTTAGTCCTTTTTTATGTATCTCTTGAATTAAATTTATTTAACTAAGATTCAGTCTTTAACATCAATGGATAGACACAAAGTAATTGCGATTTTAATTATCTGATAGAGATGCCTATTTAATTTTTGTGAGCACTTCCTACTAGTATCTAATATAAACCATCATTAAGTTAACCTAGTTTGAATGATATACTAGAAAATATGTTAATATATGTTAATGGTGGTACACTAAATTAAACAAACACTTTAAGTAGTTTGTATGCTAATTTCATATTGATAAACCTACTGATCATGTCGTATTTCAAAATATTATCTTCACGCTTATAAATATGCCTATTTTAAGACACAAATGTGTTTCTAGTTAAATGTATATTTTCTACTGTCCATGTGGATTGCGACGATCAATCACCAATAAATATCTGATCCACTCATATTCTTAATAGATCCTTATCAGTAGGAACAGTGATAATTTCTACAAATCATCTAAATATCATGATTAGTATCGACTGTCAGGATAATCTAAATAGACGTACAATATTGACATTGATATTATTTTCATCTCTTTTGATTTCAGGTACGTCTTTGAGTTGCTACACTTGCGAAACTTGTCCAGACCCATTTAACTCTTCATATCCACAAGTAAACAACCAAAGTGGATGTGCATGGTGTGCCGTAAGTGAAGTAAACAATTCATTTATTGAACTTAACTGAGAAAATACTGTTTTTTAATATTAGACTAACATCTCATCTCCAGTTAGTGTGATTGAATACATGCAGCAGATGTTTAGTAATGATTTCACCTCCATTGTGTTAACGTAACTAACCACCTATTTCCTGAAGATTGAGATCTGACCCGTTCTACTAAGTTCTGAGGAGCAATTAAATCATGTGAATAAGTATTGTTGGTAGTTCCCAGTTATTTTAAGCTAAATACATGGTACCATATTGTTAGGTTTCTACACATTATTAATAGTATTAACCGTCAGTGTTGCTGTAGTTAGATTTGAAGAAACCTGCATGTTTATTGTATAAAAGAGCTCAGTGGAAAAAATATTCTGATAACTGTATTAATAAGAGCAATTATGAATTTGATTCATGTATGTAAACCGAGATAAATCAGCCTAGTTGGAACGTTGAAAGCATCATATGAAATCAAATATGTCACTACTGTTTGTCATAACTAAACTACGACACTGGTACGTGTGTTTCTTCTATCACTGCTGTAGAATGTTTTCATCAATAAGATTGGACAGTGCATTTAAATAGTTGTAAGAAATTAATAGAAAACAACGGATATATGATAACAGCAAAATGCTGTTTTATGACTGAACTCACTACAATAAAGGAATCTATCCTCCATATTCTATACTCCTCATTAATATTTTATCAAAATATTTAGTTGAAATATTCATGAATTAAAACTCAGTTGTTTGGATTAACATTGTGCTCATCAGGAAACCTGATATTGGTGGTTTGAATACTATATCAAGTTACAGGAGTAAACTAATAAGGCATCCCGAACTTTTCAGGGGTATTATAATAATTTAAAAACTGCATTTATACATCTTATCGTTCTAGATATCAGTGAACAAATTAGACATGATATATACTAACATCTTTTCTTTGTTGATTAATTATTTATGTGTTATGGTTAGTTGCTGAATTCTAGTAACACTATATGTTTAATATGTTTTTTTTAAAGAAAATTGTTTTTGTATAAACCTGCTTCAAGTTTCTTTACAGAAGATCCAGAAGGACGGTAGGCGTACAAGATTAGAAATATGGTACTTTATTGTGAAAAGAATTCACATTTAAGACAAAGATAAGTAGGGGTTTATTTGATAGTCCAATCGATTATGAACTGAATCGACATAAATGTCTTGCAATCGCACATAATGATGTAGACAAATCTTGACAATAGCTTTAAGAATTTTTCCAATAAAAGGTTTTATGATTGAAATATAACAACAAAATATACAATATCTTTGTAGTGTAGTGAACAATAACACGAGTAGGGACAATCGAATGTATTTGACACGAAATTACAGAGCATCTCAATAAAATCTGAGAACCATATAGTAAATGGTTAGTTTGAAAAATATCAGTCCATCATTCTCAAACTTGACTGTTCCTGTTGCAAACATCAATCCACTGTCTCAGATTTCATTGTTCATGTGTTTTCATACCAACTGTGTTCCGTTCCCGTTCTAGCGAATATACTAAACATTTTTATTAATTCTGTATAATGTCCAAATAAAATTCTGAAATAAAAACAGATTTATGTGTTAATGTTATATGTTTATAAGAATAACTTTTAAGCTATTTTTATTGACTGATTTCTCTTATTGTCTATTATAGAAGATTACGCTTAAAAAGCGTCGTTCTCCAATAAGACAATGTGCAGACAGATGTGACTATTTATATTTTTGGAAATCATACTCCAAGTTCTCTTATTATTGTTGTAATACTGACTATTGTAATAAAAGTATACAGAGTTATGCAACTCATCAAATACTAATTATGATTGTTATAACACTTGTTTGTTTCTATATTAATAAAAAATAAACGAAAAAAACCCACAAAACAACGAACCTTACAATTCGCCTAAATCAAATTCATTCGTAACTTTATCTTTACTTTATATATTTATTTATATTTGTGTGTAAAAATGCTATTTCATTATTTGTAGCTTAGATATCATATTTTAGTGTATTGAATCCTCTTTTGTATTGATAATACTTTAGAAACAAAAAAAGAAACATTTCACTGCTTATCTTTGGATTCTTTCATCAAATAACTTAGTAGCTAATTGGAGACACCATACAGTACACACTGAAAATATATCTGTTGAATTAGCTGACATAACTTAATTATCATATCAAAGCTTAGTAAAAGTAGTCTTCACTGTTTAGATCGATTGTTCACTAGAATTATTATGTAAATACTAATCGAATTCTAACAATCAAGTTTTAATATAACTTGAAATCGTGTACACTATATTGTATTGTTAGGTGGCTAGAAGTAGTTGTAAATAGACTAAGATTTTCTAACTTATCGACAATAGATTAGTCTAAAAACGTTAAGCTTATTAAGCAACGAATTGATAACTATAAATCTACATAACTCTGCGCTTAAAAAGTGAATATGTTTAGAGTTGATTAACATTTGAGATGGTGGAGATGATTTGTAGCTCAAGTTGATGATTTTGATGGAGTTTTGTTCTCTAAGCTGGATGGTTTGGTTGTGGAGCTTTCTGTCTGAAGTTTGTGCTGATGATGTCGTTCAGAAGAACGATGAAAGCTCCATGACCAAACCATCCAGCTCAGAGAACAAAACTCCATCAAAATATTAACATTAGCTGATTAAATAATACCTTCAATCTATTAACCATTTGACCTGTTACATTTCTTCTTTGTGCAGTGTTATGGTTATTGATGAATTTGACAAAAATAAATGACCAAATGATTCATTGATTCAAATTTAACTTATTGTTTACATTTAAATGTTTTCTGTGTAACTTGAATGTTACACGATTGATAACTCTTGTAAATTGCTGTATAAGAAATACGGAGTAGTAAAAAATAGGTCTATCTGATGTAGAAGATCCCCAAGATGCTTCTAATAACAAAACAGTTCCTTAACATAAGACACTAAATATTGGTATTGTGTCTTGGATAAATCTTGAGATTTATAAGTATCAAATTATTGATGTAGCCTCCAGATTCTTACTTCTACTATTTCCTCTGCTCAAAAATGTTTGGAAGTATTACTATCAAATATTATAAACAAGTGAGGACATTTTTAGTCTCTGATATTCTGTATGTGCTAGTTACAAATAATTCGCTATTTCTTGTTGCATCAAAAGTATAACAAACAAATGTTCCTAAGGTTTACTTTCATACTAAGTCGTGAGAATCATGAATTTTATTTAAAGTTTTAACGCGCATATATCATTCAATCTAAAAATAAATTTAAATTGGGTTTAACAATGCCTTATGTACTGATTAGCAACCATGGGTCACTCCTTGGCATTAGGCTTATTACATAAGAATAAAACCAATGCAAATCTACTTCAAATTGGAAGAAATACTAAGGTGTGTTCCTAAAAGATTCCTTTGGCTGGAATGTTAAATTTTTTCAGTAGCTCATTAAATTTACTAACTATTCTTGGAAGAGAATATCTAACTGATAAATCTGGCTGAACTCTTGAATCGATTTCTTAGGCTCTATTAATAACCCAAGGCAGAATTCACATGATAACATCAACACGAAAGAAAAGAAGCGAAGTTTGCAAAGAATGACTTACTCCGAATTTAGTTTATGTACGTAAAATTGAGGGTACATAAAACATTTTAGATGACCTCGGGCTTCCGGAACGTTCTGGAGCCCTAATAAACATAGTAGGATGATAGGCAATCAACCGATTAAAAATGTGACACAACTCTTTGCTTTCTCGATGTTTCTGAGAAACTTCTATTCAATGCTGGTTATATAAAATGTTACCCAGTGTTTTAAGGGCTTCTCTGAGCTTGTTTTCGAAGAATTATCTGGGTCTTCTCAACACTAACTATACACTAGATTTAGAAATTATATAATTGGATATTAGTATTCATATTGACAGGAAATTATGTAAATCAGTCAAATAAGGTTTTACGTTTGATTCATAAATGCGAAAATTTAATAGGAAACGTGTCAAGTACATAATATATCAACTGAATACTTTCGCTGATGTTCCCGTTTGTGTAAATTTCGGATTATTCCTCAGGTTAGGATTTTTCTGGTTGGCGTTTTTTTAGCGAGTTAGTTTTCTACGGGATGGAGCCGCTAACCTTATACCCAACCCTCCTCCTTTACCCAGGCTTAGGACCGGGGGTAAATCTAGAAGAGCTACAGGCTGATTAATTTCAATGCAATGGGTTGATCATATCTATTTTATTAAAAAGAAACTTTATTATAATTGTTTGAAATTTTCCATTCTATTGAAACAAAAATATATGACCTTTACTTTAATTGTTAAAAAACTTTCTTATTCTATTATAATATGAACTATGCATTAATTGTTTAAAAAGTTCAATTCTGTTAAAACAAAAGTTTATTAAAAATGGTAATGACCATTAAACAGAGTTAAGATAAATACTTTTCAGAAATATATTGTATACAAAAGTTGTATTAAACAGTTAATATTGACTAAAAGTCACATTACAATTATAATGGACTAAAAAGAATTACATAAAATGAAAATAAGAAAGCTTGTCAAAAATCATGTAATAAAAGATAATCAATAAACGATATGGAAACAATGAAATGATGAATTAATTGAAAAGAGCAAGAACAAAGATTTTAGCAGAATAGCATGAATTCATTTTATTTCGTAGGTTCTCGTCAGCTGCTTACAACCTGTGATATTTAAAAATCATAATTGCATAATGGATTTAAATTGCTTACAGAATATTGTAAATATATACCTAATGTGATAGAATATTCTACAACATTAATTGTGACAACAATTCACAAGTAGTTACTTACTTACTTCCATACTCCTGTTACTCCCAATGGCCATGCTAATTTCTTCAATTGTTGGTGGGCCAACATTGATTGGGAGGTCCGTGGGTGCTGCTTCGATGTTGGGTGGGTTCAGTGGCGCTGTTCGATTCAAGAGTTCTTTGAAGTGTTCTACCCACCTGTTTTGTTGCTCTTCAATGTGGGTGATTACCTCGCCTTCCTTGCTTTTCAATGGTCGCTCTGGTTTACGGTGATTTTCAGACAGTTTCTTTGTTATGTCATACAGTTGTCTCATGTCTCCTTCCCCTGCAGCCTTTTCCGCCGTCTTTGCTAGAACTTCCACATATTTACGTTTGTCGGTTCTGATACTCCTCTTCACTTGTTTGTTTACTTCTGTGTATTCAGCTTGTGCCTTGGCTTTTTCTGCTCTTGTTCGGCTGGTATTGATTACTGCCTTCTTTTTCCTCCTTTTTTGAATCTTATCAAGTGTATCAACAGTGATCCATTCCTTGTTATGGTGCTTCTTGTGACCCAGGATCTCATGACATGTTGAAGTGATTGCCTCTTTGATCCCCTTCCAGTTGCTCTCCACAAGTAGTATTTATATAATTTTTTCTGGTTAGCGTTTTTTTAGCGAGTTAGTTTTCTACGATAAAATAGTCAATATCATACAGAATTCCTATGATGGATTAAACTGCAAAATCATGCATGGAGGACAGTTGACAAACTCGTTCGAGGTAAAGACCGGTGTCAGGCAAGGTTGCTTACTCTCACCCTTTCTCTTTCTCCTGGTGATCGACTGGATCATGAAGACGTCAACATCTAAAGGGAAACGCGGGATACAATGGACATCTAGGATGCAGTTGGACAATCTAGACTTCGCAGATGATCTGGCCCTTCTATCCCAAACGCAATAACAAATTCAGGAGAAGACGAACAGTGTGGCAGCAGCCTCAGCAGCAATAGGTCTCAATATACACAAAGGGAAGAGCAAGATCCTCCGATACAACACAGCATGCACCAATCCAATCACACTTGACGGAGAAGATTTGGAAGATGTAAAATCCTTTACGTATTTGGGCAGCATCATTGATAAACAGGGTGGATCTGATGCAGATGTGAAAGCGCGGATCGGCAAAGCAAGAGCAGCATATTTACAACTGAGGAACATCTGGAACTCAAAGCAACTGTCAACCGACACCAAGGTCAAGATTTTCAATACAAATGACAAGACAGTTTTACTGTATGGGGCAGAAACCTGGAGAACTACGAAAGCCATCATCCAGAAAATACAGGTGTTTATTAACAGTTGTCTACGCAAAATACTTCAGATCCATTGGCCGGACACTATTAGCAACAACGTACTGTGGGAGAGAACAAACCAGATCCCAGTGGAGGAAGAAATCAGGAAGAAGCGCTGGAAGTGGATAGGACACACATTTAGGAAAGCGTCACAAGACAAGTCCTCACATGGAATCCTGAAGACTAAAGAGAGAGAGGAAAACCAAAGAACACATTAGGGCGAGCAATGGAGACAGACGTGGGAAAAATAAACAAACAATTCGATAGAACTCGAAAGGAAGACCGAGGACAGAGTGGGATGTAAAATGCTGGTCGGCGGCCTATGCTCCATTCTGAGTAACAGGCGTAAGTAAGTAAGTAAGTAAGTAAGTAAGTAAGTAAGTAAGTAAGTAAGTAAGTAAGTAAGTAAGTAAGTAAGTAAGTAAGTAAGTAAGTAAGTAAGTAAGTAAGTAAGTAAGTAAGTAAGTAAGTAAGTAAGTAAGTAAGTAAGTAAGTAAGTAAGTAAGTAAGTAAGTAAGTAAGTAAGTAAGTAAGTAAGTAAGTAAGTAAGTAAGTAAGTAAGTAAGTAAGTAAGTAAGTAAGTAAGTAAGTAAGTAAGTAAGTAAGTAAGTAAGTAAGTAAGTAAGTAAGTAAGTAAGTAAGTAAGTAAGTAAGTAAGTAAGTAAGTAAGTAAGTAAGTAAGTAAGTAAGTAAGTAAGTAAGTAAGTAAGTAAGTAAGTAAGTAAGTAAGTAAGTAAGTAAGTAAGTAAGTAAGTAAGTAAGTAAGTAAGTAAGTAAGTAAGTAAGTAAGTAAGTAAGTAAGTAAGTAAGTAAGTAAG